TAGATAGATAGATAGATAGATAGACAGACAGACAGACAGACAGACAGACAGACAGACAGACAGACAGACAGACAGACATTCTTTTTTTAAAAAAAGTTGCTAATCTTCAAAAATATTGTTAAGGAAACCTCCTCAGAAAAACTGCAATCATAAGGATAGTGAATAGTAATAAGGAAAATCCACGATTCAGCTATTTACCTTTTTACTCTGTAATTGTTATATTAATCTACAGAATAATAAATATCACACAGGGAATTAACTATTCTCAAATATTTAATCCTTTTGGGAAGAAAAAATGTACAATTTTTGATTGATGCTTATACATTTTTACAAAATGAATATACCGGTATGCTTTTAGAATGCATGCAATGATCAAGGTTGACATTTCTGTAATATTGCATAATATTTTATATTGTATACAGTAAACATTTTCCCTTGCATCTTAACTGTGGAATCATCACAATGCTTGCTTGTTAGATATTAAGACACTAAGTACTGGGGGGGGGGAAAGGATGCTGCTTCATAGTGGTTAGCCTTGTAGCATTTAAGCTACACTGTACATTATCTGTAAATAGGGATATTAATTATATTTATTATATGTAAGATAGTTCTTGTGTATGAACACCAGTTTGATGTAGGAATCAAGCTAAAAACTGGGAGATCATAACTTCTAGTTCTGCCCTAGGCACAATGCCAACTGGGTGATCTTGAGCTTATTCATTCTTTTGCAGCTCAAGGAAGTTGGCAATGGCAAACCACATCTGAAATATCTTACCAAGAAAACTACAAGGATTTGTCTAAGTAGTTGCTTGGAATCAAAAACTGATTCCAAGGCACACACAAAAAATAGTTTCATCAAATATGTAATTAAGGCATTCTTAACTGCTTGCAACGGAAACATTTTATTGTCTAATATTGCACAACTTTGAATTTTCTCCCATGGTAATAATGAAACTCAGAATATTGATTTATTTATTATGCAGAAAAATGCATAACTCTCATCTCATTCTTCATTACTGTCTCAGAAAAGACACTAGTATGCCTTTGTTAGTAACTGCTTGGGAACACAAAAATGTTCTGCCTGCTACCTAATACTATTACTAGTATTCCTCCATTGAATGAAGAAAATCAAGCATTAGCTTTCAGAAAATTAGCTTTCACTTTTGCAGTCCTTTGCATTATTTGCCAGATTGTTTCAATCATCTGGGATGGGATGCAGAAGAGAGTGAATTAGGCAAAAATTAGTCCTTTCCAATCCTTCGCCAAAGCTGCAACCAGTTCAAAATGTTTTGTTACTGAGCAAACGTTACTCCATGTCCCAGTTTTCAGAAAAGAACTAGCAGCAGTAGCAGTATAAAAATTTAAACTTCATTAATACGGCAAAAATTCAGAAGATATTTTTACACTGAGTTCCTTTGTCATCTGAGTAATATAGAGTTTGAAATGTACTTACATCTCTAGCTTTCCCGTAGAAGGCCTCTTGAAAGGCAGCCTCTAAAGATCCAATAAAAAATACTGGATGGCAGTCACCATATCTGTTTCAATCCAAAATGTTTCAGAGAGTTTTAATAACAAAAAGACAATAGTATTATTTTCCAAAATCAAATATCCAAGACTTATTGTATCAATGCTTTAATGATAATTATATATCTAAATATTTGTATATGTATATGTATGTATGTATGTATGTATNTTGGGGGCAATATGCTGACTCTCTGTAAACCGCTTAGAGAGGCCTGAAAGGCCTATGAAGCGGTATATAAGTCTACTGCTATTGCTACATTGCTATTGCTATTTTGCAACTGCACACTTGCTCAAAAGGAGGTTTTAAGTCCCTATCGCCCACCTGGAATCCCGAAACGCCTACTAGTTGACGACCCATGGGTTAGACAGATGATCAGATTTCTTCACAGTCATATCCACCCCATTCCAGCCACTTATGGAATGCTTTTTAAATAATTACACCAATGACCAGCAGAGATCTAGCTGTCACCAATCATTACTTGGCAGGATAGACTTTTTGTGATAGTGTAGGCTTTTTAGCAATTCTGATGCAGATAATCTCTATAGTTCTGCTTTGACCAAATGAAGCATTGATAATAATTATATCGATATTACAACAGATAATTTAATATAATAATATTTACTTTAGATAGTAATGTATTTTCAGTTATAATCTTTAAAAGTAACAGAATTATTCACATGTATTTCATTTATTTGAAGAATTATTGAATAGGTATGTATGAACAAAAATATTTTCAACAATACTATTCTTCATTTTTGTTTCATTTAAATAAGAATCAGATCTCAAATTCTCTCTATATTTTCTGCTACAAAAGCAACATTACATACAAAGAAACTAAGACTTGCTCTTTTGTTAAAGCTGAATTTGAATAGAGATCCGTTTCCTTAGACAACATTGAAAAATTTCCCAAATAAAGGACAAGATCTGGACTTACTCTTGGCTGTGAAGTGCTCTCAAATTAAATCAGTTTGAAGTGGTTTTCATTAAGATGGATTGAGTGTGGCATCGTGAGAAACACTTTATCAAATGCAGTGTTTTACTTAGTGATTAACTATATACCAGTTGATGAAGCTCCCCAAATCCTTCATAATCCCACCACTCCAATAAACATTTAATGAGCATATAAGTTCAAAAAGCCCAGCAGAGGATTTAAACTTTCAATCTTGTTTTTATTTACTCTTCCAACTCAATTTCTCACTTCAAGTTAAGAATGCTATTGCTTGAAGCTCATCTGTTGCCCTGGCAAAATTAAGTGCCCTGCACATCAGGACAAAACACGTAGGTTAAGATTACAGTTCTTGCAGAGATAGATAGATAGATAGATAGATAGATAGATAGATAGATAGATAGATAGATAGATAGATAGATAGATAGATAGATAGATAGANTGTATGCCATAATCATCACAATTATGACAAATCATAGCTTGAACTATCTTGCTTTGCATGTAATGAGTCTTATCTTATATATTAGTTTCACTTTTTAAGTTGTATTACTGAAATAAATGAACTTTTGCATGATATTCTATTTTTTTGAGTTTCACCTGTATATAATACTGCTAGTGGATAGGCTCATCAAGACTCTTTAGGCAAAATATCAATATCCTGATGACTCTCAGCTCTACTTTTCCATAATATCTGCATCAGAAAATGTTCTGCACCATTCTCATTGTACAATAAATTCAATGGGGACAGAATTCAGGCTGAATTCTGGTAAGACAGAGACCATGTGGTGTCTAAATACAAAAAATTGAGGTCTGTATGTTCTAGATTAGATAGTATATAGTATGGATTAGAAGAATGACTCTAGATTCATTTTTTCATTGAGAGTTAAAAATATTATCTTAAATATTTATAATAAGTGTACTAATTTTGATTAGTATACAGGTAGACTTCGACTTATAAACACAATTGTGTCCAAAAATTCTGTTGCTACCCTGTTTCCCCGAAAGTAAGACCTCACTGGATAATAAGCCCAATTGGGCTTTTGAGAGCATGCGCTAAAATAAACCCTCCCCCCCAAAATAAGCCCTCCCCGAAAATATTGCAACGCAGCAGCAGCCATGAGGTCACCACGGTCTCCGCCTCCTGCACATCAAAAATAATAAGACCTCCCAAAAAATAAGCCCAAGTGCTTATTTCGGGGGTCAAAAGAAAATAAGACCCTATCTTATTTTCGGGGAAACACGATAAGTAACACAGTTGTTAAGTGGATTTTGCCACATTATATGACCTATCTTGCCACATTTGTTCAGTGAATCGCTACATGTGTTAAATTAGTAATACAGATGTTACATTAATCTGCTTCCTAATGACTATATGATGATTGTCAGAAGGTCACAAAAGGTAATCACATGACTCTGGGACACTTCACTTGTCATAAATACAAGTTTTGCATATAAGACCTTAAATAATTTGAGATTAGCATTCTTGTCAGATTGCTTTCTGTGATACAGACCTGATACAGACCTTAGTAAAGCCATGAAAGTCCTGTTGCTTCTGTCACAACTATCAGGTTGTAATCTTATGGTTAGACAAGTGGTAGTCAACCTTTTTCTACCTACCGCCCACTAATGGATCTTTCTTGATGGAAAAATTTCCTTACCGCCCACCAGTTTTTGCGCAAGTGCGGNATACATATATATATATATATATATATATATATATACATACATACACACACACACATATATAATTTAATTTCAAGCTAAATAACATTGTAAAATTGAGTGCTGGAAAAGGTACTGGACTTTTATTCTTCATCATAAGGAAAACTGACATTTTTAAAATTCTCTTAACTCAGCAATTAGTGTAACCTTTTATATTAAAGAACAGAATTCTTTAGTTGTTTAATTCTTTTCTCAAAGCCAGTGGCGGACTTAACAAGGATAAACTTAATGGAAATTTCAGTTTATTTATTTTAAATTATTTTCTTTAATAGAACATACAGCCAATGACCAGCAAGTAAAAAAAACAACAATTAAAAGATAATAAGATATAATGAAAATATAATAGAGATAAAGGCAAAAAGAAAACAGAAACCTAAAACTACTGAATTTCACAGAACTGGTAACAAGATATCAGCATCAGGGCAAAAACAGTCTTTTACTTCTGATTGAGATAGCAGCCAATAAGAATTTACATCTCTGTTTGCAATAAATGGGTTCTGATCCTGCAGGCGGCATAGAGCTTCTCCCTCAGAGTAGAGTTGAGTTATATTAAAAGTGGATATTAAAAAGGTAGCGAGTACAATGTCATAGAAGAGATCGTGAGGGGAAAATTTGGAAATATTCAAACTGTAAGGATATTCTCTTTACAAAAAGGATTTTCTACTTCCTAGTCTTCAGTATTGATGTAGGGAAATTGTTGAAACGGGCCAAGCAAAATGCTCTATGGTGTAGCAAAAAAAGCAAGACTGAAGACATACTTAGTAGGAACTAGTTGGTTCTACTCTAGAACCCACTATGAAAATCACCAATAATTCCTAGATTCAACTGTCATGCTCATTATAAATTCACTAGCAAGTTTCTGCCCTGACTTTCTCTAAATGTAAAGAACAAAATCCAAGGAGAAATTACAGAAACTCAAGTTGGCAAAATATTTGTCCTCTATCATTAAGGGGAGTTGTCAAAGAGCATTAAGGGGGTCAGTGAAGCAAAACTGTAACTAGTAAGAGAAGTGACAAGTGTGGGCTGTTTCCTCAAAGAAGCAGCATTCCTGGTTCCATACATATCAGAGCATTTGAGATACACGATGAGACCTGAAAGAGGGTAGACAAAAATCTAGGAGTGGACAATCTCTAAGGAAGATGTTATAGATGCATACTTATGAACTACTATCTGATAATCTGGCGCTGCCCAGGTATTTATCTTAATCCATACATTTGTCCTCAAAAATAATTCCAGACCAAACGTAATTTCTAAACGTTGAATTTCCCCCCTCACCAGAGAAAGCCCCCTTATGGAGTACTGTGAAGCTGTTACCATGGCAACTCCGCTGCGCTGTACACTAGAATGATAGTATGATAGAAGCCATTTTAAGGCACAACAGGCTATATCTTAACAGAACAATCCCCCCAGGGGTGTTAGGGGTGACTTACCCCCACAATATTTGTTTCCAGAGAGTAAGTCATCTGTGTACCAAGTTTGGTTAAAAGGTATTGCTCGAGGCATTCCAGAGTTATGCTGGAACACAAACACACACACACACACACACACACACACACACACACACACACACACACACACCGTGACCCGTCAAAACCGCAGTCCACAAAAGCGCGATCGACGAAAACGCGCATTTGACGTCATCACAGCGCGACGAAAAAAATTAAAAATTGAAATAACAATAAAATTAAAGCAAGCCGATTCACATAAAGGTAAGGGTTAGGTTTAGGGTTAGGGTTAGGTTAAGGGTTAGGGTTAGGTTTAGAGCGTTAGGGTTACGTTAAATTTTACGTTAAAGGTTAGCGTTAGGTTTAGCGTTAGGTTAAGGGTTAGGTTTAGGGTTAGATTTAGGCTTAGGTTAAGGGTTAGGTTTAGGGTTAGGTTTAGGGTTAGGTTTGGGGGGGTTAGGGTAAGGTTTTTGCTTTATTTTTACATTTTTCCATCACAGCGCGATGTTTTCATTGCGCTGTGATGACGTCAAATGCGCGCTTTCGTCGACCGCGATTTTGTCGTCCGCGGTTTTGTGGTGGAACCCACACACACGTGTGTGTTCCAGCATAACTCTGAACACCTTGAGCAATGTATGTATGTATGTATGTATGCATGTATGTATGTATGTATGTAGTATCAGTGGTGGGATTCAAATTTTTTACTACTGGTTCTCTGGGCATGGCTTGGTGGGCGTGGCATGGCTTGGTGGGCATGGCTTGGTGGGCATGGCAGGGGAAGGGTACTGTAAAATCTCCATTCCCACCCCACTCTAGGGGAAGGTTACTGCAAAATCCCCTTTTCCTCCCAATCAGTTGGGACTCGGGAGGCATAGAATAGATTGGGGCGGGGCCAGTCAGAAGTGGTATTTACCGGTTCCCTGAACTACTCAAAATTTCCACTACCGGTTCTTCAGAACTGATCAGAACCTGCTGAATACCACGTACGTACATACGTACGTACGTATGTACGTATGTATGTATATGTGTGTGTTTATGGCAGCAGAGAGGCAACATTCTTAGAGCCCAATATTGCCTTGGTGCTATTACCAAAGTGTTACTAATTTGTTCCTGTCAGATTGTAGCCCTGGAATATAATGATCAGATATTTAAAGGCAGAAGATTATTCAATATGATTGTCATCAGTACAACTATGGTGTTTTCAGCAGCTCTGCCCCTCTGAGAAAACCATAATTTTAGCTTTAGAATAATTAACTATGAACTTTTCCTCCCTACAAAAATCTGCCAAGCCCCAGAGACATCTAAGGGTAATCTGAGAAAATGAAATGATTGATGTATCATTTGTATAAAAGCAGCATCACAAAATATCTTGCTTTGTATGTTTGTGTGTGTGTGGAAATTTCTTAACCTGGGTGATGGTATTTTCATGTAACATCTTGATTAGATAAAAGCATGTCACCTGAAATTGATCTTCAATAAGGTTTACTTGGGATATCAGGATGGACTCAACAGTTGGTTTCTCTCATTAGGTAATACTGTAATAGGCCTCTGGGAGGGAATATGCTCCTATGACTGATATTTGTCAGCAGTTGAACTGAAGAATATTGACACCAGCTTTAGTGTGCTCAAAGTTCTGGTCAGGAGAGTGGTATTTTGTAAGAGATGCAAAGTCTGTTGATTGCAGTTGAGCTTCAGATAGATTTGCAGTTAGCTTCTAGGTACAGTCATACTTTAAAAGTCTCCTTTTGATGTAAGAGGACTGTAAGAAATTGAGTCATCATCTGTGCCAAGCCTTCTAACTTAAATAATAATTCATTATTTGGAAAGTTCTCATTCTTGAAGCAAGGATGGGAATGCTGAAAAAAGGTGAACTATTTTCTGACCAGGATGATTTGTAAGACAAGTAACTTGTTTGTAACTGGCAGCAAAGAGTTGTCTTAGAGAATAGCAAAAAGTGCCCTTAGAAGGCCATCTTGTGATATTAAGTATTATTAACTAAAAGTAATTTTCTGTTTTCAAGGTAATTGTCTTTTTATGGCTGTCTGCCCCTTGAAAAGTAAAATATACTGGTGGCTCAACTAGTGGGCAAGAAGATGAACTTTCTGTGACAGTGAGTTAATATAGCTCTTTAACTTTTCCCTCAAGTCCTCAAAAATATCTAGGACTGCACATTACTCAGACAATGAACATTTAAAAACTCGGGCAAAGGAGGATATTTCAAAGTGGCAAAATACGTATGAAATTCCTTGAAAATGTATTTTTAAATGTTACTCAAACAAGGTTTCCAAATATTCACATATTTGTTCTGCCCCTTTACTAAATACATGAAATTAATCTGAATAACAGATTTTCAACATTAAATCTTCAAAACCAAAATAACAAAACTCTGAAACAATACACTGCATGAAGTCACATTACCTAAATAAACTTCCAAGTGATCTCTTTATTTATTTATAAGACTGGATTTAAAGACTGCCCAACTTCCAACAACTCTGGGTGGCTTGAATTTCTAATGGTAGGAAACAATGAAAAGAAAGGGAGAAAAAAAAGTCTTGTTCTGATAGAAAAATTATTTTTAACTTGGCCAACCTGGAGCAAGTAGATCATAAGTAGAACCTCTAAGAATATTGCAACTATGAAAAAAATATTATGAAATAGATTGTTGCTCAATTCCAATTTGAAAAATACTGTATCTTTCATTGTCTCTGCCAAGTATAGGAGACTGACACAAAAGCAGAATGCAAAAAGCTGGCCTGTGGTTTCAGATCTTATTCCCATGCTGAAGTGTGTGACAGAGAAATGAAACAAAAAAGAATAAATGGGAGGCTCAAACTGAAAAGGAACTATATTTTAGATTTGCAAGTCTCACAGAAAGGCAGTGGAACTTTCAGGTTTCTACCTGATATTTTGTTACCTTATAAGTATAATCTTTATTGTCATTGTACTTAAATACAACAAAATTGGTTATAAATATTGCACAAAATTTAAGCACAGTATATACATGTATTATAATTCATTGGAAGAAACTTGCTACCCTATATGTTTGCTAAAGAAAGCAATAATTATGATGATGATATACATATATAGATTGTACTCAGTTATAAATCTAACCTTGAAGAAAATTCTGCTGTGAATTGTAATAAGGCATCTCCTTCATTTTCAGCATTTTCTGGCACTACAGAAGGAAAGGAAAATATTGCAAGTAAATATTAACAGGTAGGTTTAAAATATTTCCTTTACCATTTAGCCAAATTTTCTGTGAGCTCTACTTATCTACCATGGCAAATTGTTTAACAAAAAGAAGATAAGTCTTTTTGAACTATTCTTTGAAGATGAATCAACGAATACAATGTCAATACTACAATCTGAAAATACTAAGCAATTTATAAGTGACATAGCTTGATACAATAACTAACTCCCCTGTAAGCCACTGAACTCAATTTAAGATGCTAGTTATTCGCCTGTAAGCAGAAAATGACTTATTAAATTGATTGAATCAATAAAATTCAAAATGCACATGAAGATTAACTGGGAAGGTCTTGCCTATAGTGACTCCAGCTTATACTGCAGGACCAACGAGTTGAACGGTCTCTGCAATAAGTGTCCCAAATACAGCACATTCTCCAAGCAATAATTAACTGTGTTATTTCAGAAACCAACTGGCCCTAAGATTACCTATGGTGTTTAAGCTATCCCTACCCCAACTATTTTCTTTCCTGGCTTTCTTGCCTGATGAAAACTTATCAGAAACTTAAAATCTGCACTATCGTTATTTTCTCAGGTATTATTTAGGTTATTTATAATTTTGTATACTGTTATAAAGTATTGTTAGCAACCCAGAGTTATATATTTAGAATGGGTGCCACCAAAAATTAATAAATTTAAGTGGAATTAATTAATTAACTAATGATTATGTAAAACATTAGTAGACCTAAAATGTGTATTTCTTCTATTTTTAATACCATATTGTAATGATGTCAATTTCAGTTAAAATTTATGTTATAATGAGAAGACCAGCAGAAAACAGGAGCTACTGAAATGTATTAAAACATCTTATGTTCTTGGGAAGATGTTGATGCGTATAAACATCAACACTGCCAGCTAAAGAACTGGCAGCTTTGATATCACCTTTTTGTGTATATAATAATAACAACAGAGTAGAAGAGAAAGAACTGGAGAAAATCACAAAATGCAAACACCTGAAAATAGAAATATAACGACAATAGCAATAAAATAAAATAAAATCAAAGACAGTACCAATAGTAAAAGATGCATTGGATGCATCCGAAAAGATGAGCATCATTTGAACACCATTAACATTGACAATATCACTATCAGTCAGTTGCAAAATTCAGCTTTATTTGGAATAGCTTACATCAGGGTGTCAAACTTGCGGCCCACTGGCTGGATGCATTGTGCACTGGCCACGCCCACCCCCATTTTAGCAAAGGAGGGGAATGTCACTATATGTCACGTGACGACATATTGATGATGCGTATTTGACACCTCTTGTTTACATCATGCAATAATTCCTTTTACATACCATCAAATCTTGGGAAGGACATAATAAAAATACCAAAGCCAATCTAAACATCAGGCAGACTATATGACCAACCATAGTAATAATTGTATTGGTGGACAAAATGACAAATCCAGTCTGACTATGGATAAAAATGCCAAATCCAAATCTGACTGTGTGACCAGCAATAATTGTACTGGTAGAGTTGCTCCACGGCAAGATGTGCCGCATATAAATTTTCTAAATAAAGAAATAAACAGTACAATATAATGCAATACCATTACCCATAATGGTTATTAATTTGTACTGAAAATATGATACCGAATTAACAGGTAGCATTTTAAGTCAACCAAAATGTCTAAAATGTCTATTTAATAGATTAACAGAATAAAAATTTCAGATACAGATAAAATTTGTTCAACAAAAGTGTATGTTTATCTGATTTAACCTAATCTGTTAATAGCAAAAAATACCAGACCAAGCCATTACTAACATCACAATAAAAATTAGCATTCAGTGAAATAATCACATTTATTCATGATTTTAACTATTTTTTGTTATTAATGAAAGTTAACAGTTCCTGAAAATCTCATTTCATTTACTGGTTATTTTACTGGTTATTTACTGCCTACAACTCATTTATATAATTTGCAACTTCATTTCCCCGCTTTTTAAAAAAAACTATTTTTGTATTAAAAAAAACAGATTGTATTGTCTATTATTTCTATTGTATCACCCCAAGAAAGTCATACTGTGGTCTGAAAAAGCAACATGTCAAAAAGAATCTGTTTTCTCTCCCCATCCCATTTATCCAAAGTTGGGGTTATACTATTCACAATACATAGTAATACTTACTCATTGGAGATTTTCTCAATGCAGATGATGCCATACCAAACATCTCTCCATCATCCACCCCAAATTCTGTAGCATCTTCAAAGTCATCTCCATCACTGTCACTAACCATATGTACATCTGTGCATTGCTAGTTTAGTAAAATTGATAATAAACCAATTATTGAACAAATAAATGTCAACAATAAGTTTTCATAGTTAAATAGGAAAGTCACCAAATTTTCATCCAAAACCTTGAAATGAAATTTCATTTTTATTTTCTAATAAATATATTTGAGAAAGAAGCATGCATAATTAGGGCATGTCAAATTTTTCAACTTTTAATTTTCAAACATTAAGGGTGTTCAAAAGTTGTGACATGCTTGGAGATTGTAAAAATATTTTGGTTACTTCAATATCATTTAGATGTGCTTGGTAAATACATTAACTACTTAAATATAATAACTTTTTAACATTTTGTTTGTTTCATTTCTTTTTCAAAAATCAGTGCAAAGAATATAAGAAAGTTTATGTTTAATTGCTTATAGAGTAGATGACTTCCTTAAAAAAGGACTTGACCTGATAGTGGAAGTAGAATGGTATATGCCATTTAACTTTCCAAGGCAAGGAAGTCCTAGCTCAGTTAAGGTTCCACCACAGCAGGGAAATAGAAAAAAATCCTTTTTACTGTATTAGAGTGACAGGATAGACCAATAGGGGAAAATAGGATTTTTTAGGGAATCTGTTTAATAGGACCTTAAGGTTTTAAAATCATAATCAATACTCTCAATTGGGCTCACAACAAATTGGTACCAATCTATTTCTTCCAAAGTCAATAGAGAGAGAAAGAGAGAATGAGAGAATTTTAGCAATTATTTTTTTCTTTACATAATAAAAGAAATATTATTACACTAATGTCTTATTCTTTGGTTTCATTCTAACATATTCTTTATCAAATAAAATCAACCAGCAGACATTATGCCATAAGATCAAAGTAGGACATAAATTAGACATATAATATCATTTTCAACAAAACTTTAATAAAAATTGATCTGCCAACTCTGTGGGAAGAAGGAGTTGTCCTACCTCTTCTGATTGTTCTCTAGTTTGTGCTGGTGAAGATCTTCTCCCAACTGTAAGTCGATGGCAAGGATAAGAGATTCCTGAGGCTGCTAAAGTAATCTAAAAAGAAGACAGGTATTACTGAATTATCTATCAGATTTTGAAAATCAAACTGCAATAGACATAAATATCAAGGTGCATTCTTAAAAAAAAAAAAGAGCATTTTCAATTCTCTCCTTTGCATGGAGTGACCAGATGAACCTAGGATGGGAAGAAAAAAGTTCAGAAAAAGATAGGATAGCAATTTAAAACTAATGGGGTTGCCAGTAATTATAACAATGTTTTTGCAGTTAAGAATATTACGGTTGCTGCTAAGAAAAACCAAGCTTTTGATGGCATGTGCCTTACCGTGTGCACTAAGATGGTAAGGATAAAGGGGAACTCAGGCACAAAACAGATTATGTAGAAAACAAACACAGGTTAGTCCAAAACAACTCAAATGCCTATACACCAACACCTAAAGTATGAAGAATAAACAGGGTGAATTAGAAATCCAAGTACACGAGGGCAGACATGATATTATTGCCATTATGGAAACTTGGTGGGATGAAACCCATGAATGGTCTATACAGCTACAGGGATTTAAAATTGTTTGAAAGAAACAGAATTAATAAAAGAGGAAGTGGAGTTGTGCTATATATATTTAAAAAATAACTATATCTCTACATAAATACAGCAAAATAATGACGAAACCATTTTGAATGTATTTAGAAGGAAAAAAGAATGACATTGCCATAGTTCTATACCACACAAGCCACCCAACCAATCAGACAAAATAAATGAACATTTTTTGCTAGTCAGTTAATTAAGGTATATAGGAAGTACACCACAACAGCAATGGGGGATTTTAACTACTCTGACATCAACTGGGATACAAACTTTGCATCTAATGGAAGGTCAAACAGATTTCTAGCAGAAAACTGTGTCTCCCAAAAGGTAGTGAAGGGACCTACAGAATCAGTCATACCGGATTTAATTCTCATTAACAGAAACAAAGGTGTTGAAATACAGGAACTTTGGGGGGAGTGACCATGCAATATTGGAATTCAACATTAAACAAGCACAAACAATAGAGCAAAGTCAAACTAGAGTCTTGGATTTCAAGAGAGTTGATTTCAATAAATCCAGATAGAGCCTGAAAAGGATTCCATGGATGAGAATACTCAAGGGGAAAACAACCCAAGAAACTTGGGAACATTGAAAAGTTAGATTATAAAATCCCACTCTAGCACAATTCAATGAAGAAGGAAAATAAGAGATCTCAAAAGAAACCAGAATGGCTGCACAAAGAACTCTCTGATAAATTGAAAGACAAATTGACAAGTATAAAAAATAGAAAGATGGACACATAATTAAGGGAGAATATCAGCAAGTAACCTGAACCTGCAAAGATGAAATCAAGAAAGGTAAGGCTGAAAATAAACTAAGAATTGCAACAAAAGTAAAAACAACAAAACACAACAAAATAACCAAGAAAAAGGTTCTTTAAACACCTCTTATTAGGGTTAGATATCTAGATATTTCAGAAACGTGAATAATTTGTGACTGTATAATCACTATTTACCATCCTATGGATGGGAAAAAAGACTCACAGCTAAAAAAAAAGAGATTAAAGTGTAGTTCTGTTCATCTACAGATGAATATAACTGGTCTCAGAAGGTAAAGCTGGAAGCTGAAAATTTGGTGTTTAGCTGTATGAGAATGAGCTGAAATAAATTCTGGAAAAAAATAACTTGCAATTATTCAATTGCAAGGTTCATTTTAGTAGAAAACCCCTTCTTTGTTGTATCTATTTCTATTTCTTTGACACTCAAATGGATATATAACTGTCTTAAGTTATCTCCCCTGTTCCCTACCAAGTAAATATCGGTATATAGTCTTCTTAGTTAATAGGTTGCTATGCAATCAAGTCCTTCCAGATAGAAATGCACATATTATTGAAAACGAAGACATCAAAAATGAATTGTACTATGACAAAAATCAGTTTATTACACTAACCCTTTAAAATTGATTAATGTTTGCATTTAAAACACGGAAAATGTTCTATTTTCCATGTCACTCTAGTATATAGCCCAAAGCCTAGCAAATATATTGGGGGAAAAATCTTTTTATTCAGGGTATTTTTAATCACATATGCCAGAACTCATAAAAGCCTTCATTTTCTTCAGGTTAAAGGAAGCTGATTAAGTGTGCTAGCTAACCAAGTGGGTGTTGACCTGCCTGGACTAGCCTGCTGACACCTTCTTGTAGCAAGGTTAAATAACAATTTAGTCACAATTTTAAAATCACAGAGTTAAAAGGAAATGACTATTTTTGAATAAATGAAATATGAATGCAGACAGTGAAACTCTTCCAAACCTAACACAGAATACACTTGCTTTTGCAATGGTGACACTGCTATTTTCATCAAGTTTTGTTCAGTATATTATTGGGCTCAAGTATAGAAAAAATAAATTTCTGATGTAAAATTTTGCCTATATAGCTAAATATATCTACAACTTTTAAATAGCATGCTTAAAGTGACCAATGTGAACACATTTAAGTACACTTGTCATTGTGATTAAGTAATTAGAGCCAAATTCTCACAATGAATAGCTTCTAATTTTCACTGGCTTTATCCAGATTTAGGAATGCTTAGTAGAATGGAGCTTAAATGACTAAGTATTATCAAACTGAGACTTACTCTATCTTTAAAATGTAAGAGCATTTAAGAAAAGACAGACAAGTTAACATGGTGCTGGTTATTTGATGCTCTTTGGTTCCATAAGATCAATAGGTTTTTAGATAAAAAACAGAATATTCTTTTCTCTTTTTTATTCATATCTTACAAGATATGGAATTGGGAAGAAGAATCAGCATGAATCATCCCTATATGGTCAAATACGAGTTTCAACTACTAGAATGTTGAAACCAATAGTGTAATCAGTAAGCATTTTTAGATTAAAAGTTTATACAACTGAAGGGGAAAAGCCAACATGGCATTTAATATTGGTGAAAATTAAGATATCAGATAGAGTTATTACATTTTTATATCCACATGTCTAAATTTCAATTTTATACCTTTTTAATACTTCAATCCATCAATGTATTTAATAGTTATCACTATCACTGCTAAAATAACTGTTGTTACAAAATGACAACATTCAAAGCAAACTATGAATTTAAGAGAACCATTCCCACTCCAACAAAAAAAAGTCTAGATACAAACAACAATCCTTCATACTGTCTTAAGTTTACCAGTGATTGATAAAACTTTTTAAATGCCACTGAAATCAATCCTGATTTTTTTTATTCCCATAAATATTTGCTTGTAACCCATGTGTGTACGTGCATGAATAGACATGTATTTATGTACAATGGCTAGAGGCTATACTACAAAGAAGGGAAGTATTAAAATAGCATTAAATGAACTAATAATTATAATTAAAAGTAATTGCCTGTAAAATAAAGCAATCTGTTTGCAAAATGATAGACATCTTATCTAAAAACCCAGCGTTAATAAATTCTTTTAACACTCCAACTGGACTAGATCAGCAGTTCAGCGGTTCAAATCTCACCGGCTCAGGGTTGACTCAGCCTTCCATCCTTCCGAGGTGGGTAAAATGAGGACCCAGATTGTTGGGGGCAATATGCTGACTCTCTGTAAACCGCTTAGAGAGGCCTGAAAGGCCTATGAAGCGGTATATAAGTCTACTGCTATTGCTATTGCTATTGCTATTACTTCACTCTCTCACAGACTGAGACACTATGGAATTTTGAACTCAAAAGGCTTAAATCTTTATAAATCATATTGAGTTTTAGTGAATTTCTGCAAAGGAAAATATCTTCATCCAGGAAGACTTCACCAACTGAGTTTTTGGAATTTCCTGATGTATTGTTGTGGAGTACCACTATAGGTAAAGAAGGATCTCCTGTGCAGATATGAATTCTCCACTCATGCAGGGCTTCAAAATGAAGGTACAGTAATCTAATCTGATTTCACAACTTTCATCTCTCATCTATTTATTTGCTATCTCCAGTACCTTTATTGTTACCAAATCCTCAACACATTTAAGAGGAGGCCCACCTCCAACTCTTAGGTAATTATTTAGGTGGGAAATAAAAACATAATCATCTAGAAAATGTTTAGACTAAAAAGAACAAGTGAAAAATAATTCCAATTATTTCTGCAAAAGCTTTATTGGTAGTAATTTACTTATGTGTTGTGGTTTTGTTTTTATGCACTTATAACTAAATGTAGTATAGATAAAATAAAACAACTGATACTATAGTGCATTCCAATGAGTTGTAATATAATATAGAATAAGGAGGTTCTAATCTAAGCTAATAATATTAAATGCTATATAATCCACATACTGGAACAGGTAACTATTTGTTTGTTTGCTTGCTTATTTATTTATTTTAAAGCAACTTCACAAGGACCTATGAAAAAGGAGTGTTTTAGTGCTTTTTTAAACTGCTGAGTGAGCCAATTACATGCACCGTCCCAGATGAAGAATCAAAGCCAGATGAAAAAAAGCTCTTAATCATGACATAGCTGTTGTAGGAAGCAGTAGAATCAAATTCACTAGTCTTTGCCTGATAATCAGGTCAAGTTCATATTAAATACCAGGTCTTTCAAATAACAAAGTGTGCCCATTGGCAGGGTACAAAGTGTCATCACAGCATTTTGTTTTCTTAAATTGCCAACCAACTTAATGATCGGTGGTCAAAAAAGATAGGAGCAAAATAAGGAAGGTTTGTACGAACAGCAGTATTCTGGATGCAAATCAAGAGGTGGAGCAGTCAACAGGCTGCTATGACTGCCAGTGAGAGTGAGAAAGAGATTGCAGTTTCTACATTTTGATAATTCATCACTTGTTTTTAAAAGCTAAACTAATAAAATAGTGGTTGCCTATATTTTGAAATAATAATCATTTCTAGATTATTCATTCAAGAATGAAACTAATCTCCAGCAGGGCTGACATGGACGTTTTCCTTCTCTTGGTCAGTTGCTTTTCAGAAGTACAGCTTCTAACCAAAATTCAGCAACTGTCTTTTTTTCCTATGAAACAAGTCAA